ACATTCGTGTCAAGGGGTGATTTCATCCCCCGAAACCGAAACTTCGCAAGGACGAAAAATCAGTTCCGATTCGTGAATATTTAAAAATCCTCGGGCTTGCCAACAAAGAGACGATTTACTCGAGGCATCTGGGCAAAAAGAACTATCGTTAAACGTTTCCGAATATATTCTCCCATAATAAAATCGAAGGTTGGAGGCGACGCAAGGCTACGCGAAACCGTGGACGTCGAATTCTATTTTCTGTCCCCACGTTTCGAAGGATCCAAAGAGCGAAGACGTATTTCAAGTATCGACTATCCGGCTAATATTAAAACGCGTTCGTCGTAGTGGCCCTTCCGAGTTTAGCCGTGTTATATCAAAACGGATACAGGTCGGGACATTTTATTTTTCGCGGGTCAGGCCAAAATCGCGGTTCTGTTTTCCGACCATCAAATCAACGGTTGAATTATTAAATAGTATCTTATTTTCCTTAAACCGTCGAAGGACGGTCCAATTTCTTTAACCGGCAAGAACGCCGGCGAAACGAATTAATGTTTCATCAGGACCGTTCCCATCGATTTGTTTACCAAATCCCCTGGACCCGCGATACGAGTAACTCGCGTCTTAGTTATCCACTGACGTCATTCGAACGCTCGCGAGAGCAACCCTCGACTTCTGCCAGCCACTTAAATTATAAACAGCGTCAGCCAATCGCCGCGGGACTTCGATCGACTACGAAACCGCAGAAACTTAGGCGCGTTGGTCCTTCGCGACAGCCGGGATATCTCCTTTCGCGAACTGCAAACCAGAATTCGAACTCGCCCGGCCGGTGTCTTCAAGTTTCGATCCTCCTGAAAGCTCGACATTAATTTACCAGCGACCGTAATGGAACGCTCGGAAACATTCACGAACCAGAATCCACGAATTTTTAATCCGACGTCGTTGATGCCCGGCATCGGTGTTCACGGTGCACGCGAGGAATCGACGAAAATAAATTTTCTACGATCAGCGAAGTCGCGATCGAGCCATCTTGCGGAACGTACGATCGGAGAGTTCCACGGTAATTGCAAATAATTGCCACCGTGAAAACAATCGAAGGTGTTAACGGAGCCAACAAGTTGAAGCATCAGCACTCTGAAGTTACGGAGCACGGCAAGAACGGCCCCTCGATGGCACAATGGAGACAGGAAGTCGTGGTCGGGCTGCCGAGCGGTCAGCAGAACTTGATAGTTTCTCAAAACTCGATCTTCGAATCGCCTCGAATCTCACGCTTTCGAAGGTCCGGCGTGCATTGCGCCCATTAACGACTTTGCTTTTCTCGTCGAACCATTACGGGCCTCTTAACGCCGACAGAATTAGTCTAATTATTATTGGAAACGGGGCGTAGCTTACAAAAAAGATCAGTAAATCAATCGTCGAGCTCGATAATAATATTATGAATTTGTAACACATTGATTTTTTTGAATTTTTAAGAGTAAAATTATCCTTTCTCGAAACCACATTCTTCAAATTGGCGTCTAAGATAACTCAAAAAATGTTTCTCGAAGGAATTGAGCTTGAAATATGAATTTTTATTCGATATTAGATATTTATTAATTTATTCGAAGGAGAAAGTTAATTTTTCTTTCAAACGTTACAAAAACTTTGCTATTTTCTATTGTTTTATTTTAAAAATAGGTGTGACGCTATCCGTAAACCATCTAACTTAAAAAAAAGTTGTTGATACACGGGATATAAATAAGGATTCTACCAATGCAGAGGTTAACAAGAATCTACATTATTTAATAAATAATACAAATAATCCACATGAAAAAATTATTTTCTGTAATTTAAATATATCTTCTTGTATCCCACAAAAGAGTTCAATCCAAATGAACAATATTTTTCTCGAAAATAATTCCTGAATATCAATCATTTTTAAAGTAGTTACACCAGGAATCCTTAGGAATGCTCCGTTTCAAACTTAAGTATTTAAGTCATCCGCGCTAAAAATACTAGAAAACGGAGGTTAATTATGAAATTAATACTATCATATTATCCTACGAATCTTCCAAAAAACGTCGAATGAAATTTTTGTATTATTCAAAAAAATTATGTCAACAAAAATAACCATTAATGGTATACAACGTTCAGAAATTAACGCCAAATTTTGGTATATCAATTTAATAGGTAAATAGTGCACCCAACGATTGGCTAATTATTCCAATTATTCGATCGCGTCGTTTTCGAACCGACGGTGGAGCACACGATTGTCTCGCGTTTGTTTCAACGCCGGCAACGTCGAACGAAACGGAAAAAAAGCTCGAGAAACTAGACCAGTGTGTCGTTAAAATAATCCCAAAAATATCTCTCTGCGTACACTTATGTATACGTGTCAGCCTGACGATAAGCGAATCTCTGTTTACACGTAACCAACAGGCGAGCAGATGTACGTGTCGCACGTGTAATTCACGCGGTCGTGTTGGTACACACGTATTTACCTGGTGCGTCACGTGAACTTGATATTCACCGTTACTATCTACGCGCATACAGCCATAAAGGCGCGCGCGTAAACGGCGCGCGAATAAAAATATCCTGGCGGACCGATGCTAGCGGCGATTATTAAAATAATTTATTCCCGCCACTGGACGTTATCGATGAACGATGAATTATCGCGGGGCTTTCCACGCGAAAGGGGTAACGAAATTAATATTGTACAATACAATTTCAAAGGGAGTAATTTCGACGGGGAGGGGGAAATAACTCGACGATACGGAATAAATGTTTCTTACCGCGAAAACCTGCTTTGTCAAATGAAATTTGGAAACAAGCTGACTGGGGCCAGAAATTCATATCGTTCGACTTGTTAGTAAAAATACTGAAGATATAATTGGAAATACACGTATACACTGTGATAATGTGCTTGGGCCAAATATTCGCCATGTTTTGTTACATTGTTAATTTCAATAATTATTAGTAAGATTACTAATAGGTTGTAGGTACAGGGCGTTAAGAAGTTACACGTCGTGATCATTAGAAAGAGATTCTACGCCTCAAAATCGACCTTGATCAACTTTCAAGGTCAACATTTTTTAAGATTGCTTCACATTTTACTGATCGAATGGAACACGTATGTAAATGGTTTCATGGGTCGTTGCTATTGGAAACAAAATCTATATATAATAAAAACTATAATTCATTCAGACTTAGACTAAACAATGAGGACGACGTGAAACGTGAGTGTTTGGAGATTTTGCATTCGAGGAACCAGCATAGTAAAAGAATATAATTGTTTCCAGAACGACAATGAAAGACGATACATCATTGCAATATTTTCTACAGCATACAGTCGTCACTTCTCTATAATAGTGTTCCTAATAATTTACTAGCTAATTGTGCCCGTATGCTCCAGTACCCTTGAAAAGATACGTAATTCTAACCACTATCTCTAACAGAGTCGAGGTCCCATAATCTTTTAGTAAACTCCTGAATTTATGTTTCCTTGTAACGCAAAAAATTAACACTCCATTGCATAGACCCCCAAAGTATTTGGGGAAAAATAAAGATTTGGGAAGTCCTGTCTATCATTGAGAACCCATGAAAAAGAATAAAGTCCTCATAAAAGGATCCCCTGTATTTGCTCAGCAATTTAAAGCAAAACTATTTTGCACTTAAAAAGAAATATTAAAATCCAAGTGCACGACGTTGTATAGAAGGTCTAAAGGTTTTAATTAGTTCGTGAATAACCAAGAAATAATTTCTCCTTCCAAAGATAATTTAAAACTGTTGCGACAAAGGGTTAATAAGGGTAAGTTTCGTTTTGTACTGTCGATTTGTTCTCATTTAGCTGTTACTAAGCGACTGTTTTGAAACACTGTTTTCACGGCGCAACGTATCGGAATGGAAGTACAGTTCTCGGGGCTGTCTAACCGCGCGTGTCACGCATATATGCATTCCGAGGCCGGCTTCTATACCTGCGTCAACGACGCTGCCATATCGTTCCCCCCTTCGGAAAAGGAAACCGTCGAAAAGGCCGCTTTAAGGGCCATAAAACATTTGTTTCCCTCGTCGAGCGCGCTCGCCGCTACCCGTACCCGGGTATATTGCGTTCAGCCGCGAACGCGGGATTTTGAATTGAATTTGAAATCAGGGGGCTCGATTTTATGGCGGCTGGGTGTCAAACGCCTCGGAAGTATCGCGTTCGGGCCAGCCTTGCCACGGAGAAAAGAGAAAAACTGTCGATTTAAGGTCGAAACACACCCCCACCTCTCACGGAACGTTTACGCGTTTTCTCGTCTTGTATCGCGACGGCCGGATGCAGGCCGATCGTTCGATTCCATTTTCGATTTTCTACAACGACCCAGAAACGGAGATTGTAACCGAGTGCCTCTTATCGCGAGAAGATTTCCTCTGTTCTCGGGAATCAATGACTCTCCCCCGGACGTCTTAACTCACGTTGGGCTTTATCGAACACGAGCTGATATTTGCTTTCAAAATTAGCGCCATTCGCGAGGCGACGATCGCGACAGGATGTCTCAGCGATGATTTCTAGCAAAAGCTAATCGAAAATGTACGATCTTTTGAAATCTTAAAAATTTCGAATAACATATATGAGACAGAAAAACGAATACAAATTTAATCGATTGGAAAAACTTCCGTCAAGAAAAGGGGGGAATGCCATTTCACGATACAACCCCACTTTATACTTTCTAATTCAGGTCAAAATAAACCGTTTTATTCTCGACTTTTACTTATAATTTGAAATAATGTATATGGTACTCTAAACTCTGAGAAAATTATTTCTATCACCATTACTTTGCTCCAAAGCTCTGTGGCGTTCAAATCACTGAAACTATATGGACCATCGTTCAACTCTAATATTGGAATATATCAAACTGAAAAGTAAATTTCGATTATCACAAACTTCTGATTGCAGTTAAAGAATCGCAGTTCATATTGTTAACAACAAAATTAAATCAGATTTATCTGTGATGGCTGATCGTTGTCTGGTAGAATGCAAATTTCGTAGATTAACTCCTTACCTGATCGTTGTCTTGTTGATCTTGTCCGTACGAGGGGGTGTCACCATTAGGGGTGGTGGCGGCGGAGGGTCGTTGCGACGTTGACAAGTTGATCGCGCCGTCTCCGTCTGTGTCATGATCCATTATACCATCGTCCTGAAATCACGATCATCGTTACGTCAATCCGCGGATTCTGGTGCAGTGAACTTCGTACGTTGAACCGAACGAAATTCCTCGACGATGCCTCGATCGCCCCGGTGTCCCGTCGTCGAATATTTCGCGATCGCGAATAACGAAAGTTCTATGAAGCTCTCGAATCGAGCATTGTTATCCGATATTACGCCGGACGAACAATTTTAGATCGCGTCTGACGCGATTCCATTGCATTCGCAACAATTTTCCGCTCCAACATGCCGCTAATAATAAACAGTATGTCGACTTACGTGGTTAATTCGTTCCAAAGTTTTCCGCGTAACCCATACCTTACGAATCGAATCGTTTTTTAAATAACTGGTAATTTTCTTAGAATCTTGCAAAAAATATTTCGAATAAATTACAATATTGAAACAAATATGGGCACTACAAAGGAAAGAAAATAGCGAAGGCACGAATTCGTTCCAAAGATTTCCACGTGACTCGAATACCACGCAAATTGAATCGTTTTTTCGTATAATACGATGTATTGTGCGAGGAAACAAAGATTAGTCTCAGGTCAACTCCACGTGGATTATACATACAATCTTCCTTTCTCTCTACAATGCATTTAGTATATAATGGTCTTAGAAGTTTCGTGAAGTTGAGCAGAGATCCGTATCTAATTTCTTGTAAAAGGAAAAATTAAAAGAAACTTGAGCAAGATTAAAAGATATAAAATATATTTACTATTATGCGATAAAACACGTCAAATATCATTAGTATATGAACCCTATAATTGCCGGGACAAAGCTCCTATTTAGATAAAAATTTCAGATATTAAAAGATGAACAGCTTTCGATCTGTTATTTGTTCCATAAAAATAAAATTAAATTGCAAATAAATCACTATATAGGTTATTCCTACTCATCATCTATTACTCCAATAAAATTTTAGTCACCTCTGCACCCAAGAAGAATTAAGGTTAACATCTAAATATGCACGCGTTACAACAAAATATATTTTAGTGTATAAACTAAAAATAATATATGACCAGGAACACAATACAATGATTTATTAACGTCATTTACTCGATTAAACACAGCTGTGCTAACTCAAATTTCACTCGTTTCGTATAAAAGTGTAAAAAATTTTCATGTTATTCAACTCGTAACAATAAATCGAGGACTCCGCGGACCCCCTCCCCCACCTCCGCCCCCTTCTAGCAATCGTACGATTCGTAAATTCCACGTTCGCCTCGTAACCGCGAGACACGTTTCTTTTTTAAGTTTCTCGGACCGTTGGTCGTGGATGCTTACTTCGAGAAAAATCCTCGTTCCTCGATGCGGCCAACCGACAGTTGGCCCGGTATTCATGAGAGCGTAGTCAAATATCCAGCCGCGTAAGCGGGTCAAATCATTTCACACACCCGGTCGCAACACTTTCCGTTCCAAGAAAAAGGCGGGCGTGTAAACAGAACGTAAATACGGACACTTGGTTACGGCATCACCACTCGCGATCGTCGAAACATCATACCGGAAGCACCGCTGCTCCGTCACGATTTTCGCGAACCGATCATGCCCAAAGCGATCGGATTCGCTTCGAAAAAGAATCTCGGCGCGGGTCGCGTCCGTTGTTCCCGTTCGCGACGCGCGCACGCACGTATACACACGGGGCGAGGAAACACACTGTCGGTTGGAGGTTAGAACGCACGTGGACGCGCGGAGCCGTCAAAACGCGGCGCGGAACGCGGCCGATAATGAAAGAGAAGCCGGCTGACGGGCCGGAGGGCCGCGGTGTACAACGCGGAGAAACGGTGACGGCCGTAAAGAAGACGAAAAGCAACGTTCGCGCGGCGACCGAGTAGCGAGGACTAAACACTAAAAGCGGCACAGGCATACCAAGCCGCCCAACAGGCGAGGCTGTTGCTTATTGTGTAAATATAAACAAATATAGTTGAAACCAACCAACAGGCCTGCTTTCAGCCGCTCTCTCACCCCTCTCCCCATCCCGCCTAGCTACGTCTTCTACTCTTGTGTGCCCTACCTTCTCTCTGTCGGCATCTCCCCCTCCCCACTTATCGCGGCCTGCCCTCCCCTGCCCCGTGTCTGAAGACTTTTCCCCTCTCGCTTCGCCGTAACACCCACCCTTCGTCACGTCCCTGACCCCACCGCCGCCAGGCAAACCAGTACATCATATACGAGGCACGTTGTACCGTGGCTGGCTTGGCTCGCTCGCTCGGCCCTGTCTTGCCTTCTCTCTTGTCTTCCCATATGCTTGTCTGTGCTCGAACATTACACATCGTCGCACGGTTGTTTGGCGAGCGGCTGCGCGCTATGCCTAACTCCGTGACACGCCGATCGGCCGCTTCGTTAACGTTACGCGCGCAGCTGAGTCCATGCGACGGGGACTCTGTTTTAGTTCTTTTTTTTCTCTCTCCCTCTCTCTCGCTCTCTCTCGTTCGTTCTTTTTCTCGCGCCAGGGAGGGGCTAGAAAAGCTTAGGGTAGGTGGGTTTTTAGAGGTAAGTGTTTCCAACGGTCTTGTGAGCTTCGACTCTTGGGAACTGGAATGGACATTCTTTTTTCGGAGCAGTGATTCTTAAACGCGTCAAACGTTCTCTCTGATTAGGCATATCCTTGATATTTTCAATAACCAACAAATAAAATTGTGCGACAGTAGCGTACGCGTTTATACTAGTGAGGTTTATTTATTCTTAACTATTTGGAACTTCCACCGCGGAACCAAAGAAATTTTCGAGTTGAGGCGTTGAAGGAAATTAGTTTGCGGAGGATTAGTGTATTCTAACGAAGTTACAAAAATAAGTGATCTATAATCGAAGTTTTAGTTTATAAGTTTGAGGTTCTGATCTGGTAGTGAATTTTTATTTTTAGTAGTTACTTTTAATTGATTCTACGATCAATGTAATTCGAATATTTTCTACTATGTACAGTTATTTATATTAATTTCTATTTAAATTTTAAATGTTTCCCTTGGTATAATATACTCTTAGAATTATCCATGATCAAAGGCTGTTCTCTAAACTGTACAGTAAGCCAGAAGAGATTAGGAATCTTCTAATATGTGCCGTGAGTTTAAAGAGGCTAAGAACCACTGGTTTGGAGGAATGCATTTAGATTAGGTTTTTTAGACACAGAAGGAATTCAGATGTTTCTTCGTGTAATAAAATTTCATTATTCAACGGTTGTTGTGCGAACGCTTAAAGAAGACTAAAATGCTCAATTATATTTTTCAGTATTTACACATATACCTAAACAAATTATATAAAATGTATCCCAATTCGATATAACATTCACAAAGAAAAGAAAGTATTGCAATTAAAAAAAGGCGAACAAATTCTTGTTTAGTATTCTGCTTTCAGTACACCTTTTCAGGTAATAAATTCATGGATAGATGTTTTTACCAGATTTCCCATTTACGTAATTAAATGCAACTTCCTGTGATTATTAATACGTTTAAATGAAACTTTTATCAGAGATTCACCGAACGATAATTTACTTTTACAAATGATATACATTTTAATATTAATTCTTTTCTAAAGGGGGGCAGGTTGAGTTTTTGAAAATTGTACAGTCTGCTCGATGGACCCGAACGGTTCGATCAACAATGCGGTTACTAAATTATGAATATTCCGTCCGTTAGATGACTGGGGTACGTATAAATGCGAGGAGGTTCGCGCGCTCCTCTCGTTTCGTAAATACGTGTGTACACGTGTTGTCTGACGCAACCTGAACCACCGGCTCAAGTTTGTATAGGCGAACCGGAAATGGGGGACGAAATATTCCTCGAAACGGCGTGTCCTTAAATATTCCTTTCACTCGTGTTTCGAACACACGACAATTGTACTTCGCAGAACCACGCTTTAAAAATTTCCCGCCGATACAGGGAAAATTACTTACGTTCGCAGCACAATTCTTTTCTGAAACGTTAGGTTGCAAAACCGTTCACCTTGCTCTCTTTCTGCCTGGGTACTTGAATTCGTACAGTTTTTATACAGAATAGAGTCGTTAACCTTTTAACTGCTGCGCACGTGCATAGTCGAACAAGAGCGGAATTGTTATTCAGGATGCTCGAGTTAAAGAAAACTTCGGACGTTCCAATTTCTTGAGTTTTGTGGACCCAAAGAATAAAACGTTTTACGTTTATTTGTAAGTCGAATTGTCAGGGAATAAATGATAAAATTCGGTACGGTAAATAAAAGGGAACGAATGAAAAACTTTGAAAACTTTTGCAACTGTCCGTTGGCGGTGTCGTGCGTGGAACGAACGGGGGATGAAGAGAAATTCCACGAGCGACTTTATTAGGCTTACGATACTAGTCCTATCAGAACTATTCGAAGCAAATCCTCGGCTTTAGCCGTTCCCATTGTCGAGCAGCTAGGTGTATCCCGTAACCCACGGTGGTTCGGCGAGGGGAACCCCGTCCCATCGCCGGTCCTATGACAACAAAACTGAGGGCAAAAATAGGCGCAGCCGGCCAGCCTGGGTTGTGTACGTGGCGTATACTAAATATGTATTTATTAAGTAAACAACCGTCGCTCTGGGGTTCTGGGGTACGTACATACGTCTCGTTTCCTATTTCATTGTGAGTAATGCGCTCTCGTGAATTCGATGGTGTTTGGTTACGTCACTGTGCATAAGCGTAGACGCGCCGCGCGGGGCTGGAAATTGCCGCCAAAAATCTTTGATGTCCCGGGCTACGACTGCCGTAGTTTCTTTTCATCGAGTGACTCACAATGCAAACGTGGCCTACGAAATTATATTTTTTCATTATTAAAAGAATCATATAGCATTGCACATGTTCATACAGAAGAATTATAATTTCTTTTTACGATAGTTAACTCTTTGCACTCGTATGTTGTCATATAGTCGCCATCTTACATTTTATTATTATACATATACAGTATTGTCTCTATAGAAGCGACGCTCTCGGGGCTCAACGCTCGGCTATATCGTGGACGAGAAACGATTCTTGATACTTTGTTGACGCCTACTGGAGGCGGCGA